TTGCTGGGCCTGGGTCTCCCTGGTCCTAAGCCCTGGTAATGAGCTCCATGCCAGCACCCTCGCTGGGCTGAGTCTAACATCACACTTAACACTTCACTTAAAAGACAAGTGTTTACTATTGTTCTTTAATATTTAGTCCTTCAACAGTGAGCAGCCAGGTCTCTGAGTCTCTTTAATCAATATCAGTTATTTGATCATGATCTTGCCTTATCTCTTACCCTGGAGGACAGGGACATGCAGCTGGACCCATGAGATGGGTTTCATGAGATGGTGAAACACAGAGGTTTTTACATAGACTCTGGGGTCAGACAGTTTCGGTTCTAGTCCCACATCTGATGCTCAATACTTACTGACCTCTGTCTGGTAAGTTACCTAGACTTTCCAAGCATTGATTTCCTCATTCTAAATAAAAATTACAAACAAACAATAGGGTAATGTATAAAATAGGGTAATTATGAAGACTAAATTAAATACTACACTTAAAGGGTTCAGCACAGTGCTGAGCACCAAATAAGTCCTCAATAAATGATAATAAAAGAAAGGAGGCATCAAAGAGAGACTTTTGGTACCTCAGTCTCCAATGCCTGGGGTCTGAGTTCAGGCTTCCCAAAACTGGTTTATTGTCAAGAACGTCAAACGCCACCCTCCCATTAGATCAGAGGTTCTCAACAGTAGCAGTATTGACATTTTGAGCTGGATAATTGTTTGGTGTGAGACAGCGTTTTGTTTAGTGGTGTCACTGTCCTCCACACTCTAGATGCTGCCAGCACTGCCCTTCTCCAAGTTGGAACAATCAAAAATATTTCCAGACATTGTCAAATGTTTGCCAGGGGACAAAATCCTTCCTGGTTAGGAACCACTTCATTAGACCAGAAATAGATTGCTCAGATACAAACGGGCTGAACACATGGTATATTCAGCTGGTCATTTGTTCCTAGAACACCACAGTGGTTTTTCATCCACTTTCTGTTTGTCCCCTTAACTGCCACAATACTGAAAACCACTCCCTCTCATATCAACATCAGAACCTGTGTTACTAAGAAAACGAATGCTTTAAATGTTTGACATTTTTTAATGTACTTATTGACCATTTATAGATATTGTTTAGAGAAATGTCTACTCAAATTTTGGCCTATTTTTAAATTGGGTTATTTATCTTTTTATGTTGAGTTGCAAGGTTTTTAAAATATATGTGTTGGATACTTGACCCCTTGTCACATTTGATTCGCAAAATATTTCTCCCATTCTGTGGGCTATCTTTTTACTTTATAGATGGTGTCATTGGACACACAAAGGTTTTTAATTTTGAAGTCCAACTTAGTATTCATTTTTTCCCCTTGTGCTTTTGGTGTAATATCTAAGAAACCATCGCTTAACCCGAGGTCACTGAGATTTATGCCTATGTTCTTTTTAAAGAATTTTATAGCGTTTGCTCTTACATTTAGGTTTTTTGATCCATTTTGAGTTAATTTTTGTATGTGGTATGAGAAAGGGTCCAATTTCATTCTTTTGTATGTGAATATTCTAGAATATATTTTTGTGTTGGGAGAAGGCCGAATACATCTTGGCACTTAGGCAATTTCCAAATCGGGAAACTGACTGCTTACTCCCAGTTGTAAGTATGTGTCACTGGAGCTGTGATTTGGCCGTCAACTGTGAAGGGACAGGTTCTTATTTTAACAAAGCCCAAGGGACTCTTAATTATCATGATGGCTTTTCTCCGTAGAATTCTGAGGCTTCGATTATGTGTTAGGGAAGGGCCTTATTGTCCAGGATGGAAACATCTTTTAGGCAGATGGGGATTTTGGCTGTCATGGCATCTGGCTGACAAGAATCTTGCGGCATTGAGTCCTGGGACTAAAGTTGCATAATGTAATGACAGGGTCAGTTTATGGCCTGACTTCAGGGAGGACAGCAGGCTTTCCTTTAAGAATTGTCTTTCTTCCTATACGCCATATGCTCTTAAAAATATGAGACATAGCAGACCCAGAAAAATGCTAAAAATTCCACCCTTTCCACCAAGGGGATTCAGAAATTAAAATGAGTGGCATTGAGAGTTTTTATTCCTACTCAGCAGTGGATAAGCTGGGTTAGTTTTTTTTTTTCCCTTAATAAAAAGTCAGACTTCGTGCAGCTTTCGTGGGGGTCCCCTCATTTTTCAAACCATCTCTCTACTCTTAGATTTGATTAATATTAAGTGTCCAAACATTGAATTAGATCAATATTTGTGACAAGCTCCCTGACACTGAGCAGTTAAAATGTGAGGCTCCTTTGGCCTTGGAATTCAGGCCAAAAGGTCCCACACAGAGAAATCCTTTGAATAGGTTAAAGGGTTATTTGTTGCTCTGTGTTGCTGTGTTTCGTATGAAACAAGTGTGGATTGCCCTAGAGAATTGTGTGGAGAGTTGGGAATGGAATGCTGTGTCACCTGTCAGGGTGACGGGAGATGGGTTTCCACGTAGTGAAGATTGCCCATGTGTGACCAAATGCCAGTCCGAAGGATGTAGCCTTCCTGGAGCAGGGACTGCTTGGTCCTGTGGCCTGGATAAAGCCCATGCTGTGTGTGTGTGTGTGTGTGTGTGTGTGTGTGTGTGTGGCATCGTATGCCAGTCACCAGCAGCAGTGAGGGATGCGAACATGCCACCATAGGACAGCATCCAAGACACCGACGGCCAGCGTTGTGTGGCCATTCTGTGAGCACGACGCTTTTAAACACGGGCTGGAATGGGTACACTAGAAGGCGGAGCCAGGCTTTTTTTTTTTTTTTGTATCACATGAAGCAAAGAACACCCCCATCACTCTGAGAACGTGTCCCTTTGGCGTGGGACTTTTTTTCCACTCTATTTCTCCTGTCTACTTACGGTAAAGCCTTGGACTGCGAGTAACTTCGTGTGCGAGTGTTCTGCAAGACGAGCAAACGTTTCTTATATATTTTGACGTGGTAAACAAGCGATGTCTTGCAATACGAGTAGTTTGCTTCCGGAATGAATTATGCTCGCAAACCAAGGAACTACTGTATTTGCTCACTGCAAGTCGCTTAAGGACGACAAACATCTGAGTGGAATTTATTCTGATTACGGCCTTGAATTGCTGGTAGAAAACACAGAATTACAGCTTCCATAAACCCCTGCAGGGGAATAAGCATTCATTGTCTTTAATCAAGGTACTGAGACACCAGGTCCTGGAGCGCAAACCTGAAAGCAGGGCGTCACCTCTGCCGCTTGACGCTGAAAGCAGCAGGAAAAACAGGTGTGCTCTTCTCCAGCTGAGTATTCACAGTAGCAGTTTGGGCTAAAATGCACATTCACTGCCCTCTGTCTCCCCTCCAACAAGTGAGGTTACTAAAGAAACAAACATGCTTGGAGCATGGAGCACATTATTCTAGAACTAGGAAGCACGTAGGTAACAATGTAAACACAGTGCCATACCGCGGAGCTGAATGAAGGATGCTTCACTGTACCCACCAGCCTCTTTCCCCCAGGGGTACTTGCCAAAGAAAACCCACGATCTATTCTTTGCTGGTCATGTTAGATCTTTAATCCTGACTGTCATCACTTTTTCACACACCAATCAGAGGTCGTTAGGTGATCTTCATGTAAGCTGGTTTGGTTTTTGTTTTTTTAGTGCTTTAGGATTTTATACTTTTTGCTAGAATTCACAGCTCTGAAGCCACACGGGGCTTGGTTTACTATTTATAATTTGCCCACCTTATGACGTACAGCTGGACATGCTTTCCTCCCGTTTTTTGCTCTTCCATTTAACTCATGTAGATGTATTAAATTAAATCAAAGCAAATGAAAAGCACCTGGCAATGAAAAAATATATTTGAGGCAGTTGGCAAGCAGTGATATCTGTGGTGGGGTCGGTGATTATGGCATTTCCATAGCAAAAGCTTCAAGTGCCCATAAGTTGCCACGGATTGTTCTTCAAATTTGAGGTGATGACGATGGCGATTCTTCCTGTGACATTTACTGAGTGTTTACCAGAAAATGCTAATCATAGGCTTTCTGGTCATCCTCTCACTTAACCACTGTGGTTCAATCATAAGGTAGATGCTCTTGTCAGCCATCTACTATCACACATGAGGAGACCTAGGCTGGAAACAGCTCGGGAACCCGACCCTGATTGCCCAGGTCATCTGGCATTAGAGCCTGGCCTCTTCACCAGCAGTTCCTTATGTGTTTACCATACTCCATCGGAATCACTCCAATAAGCCCTGCGCTGTCCTTGGATGCACGTCCTCTGCGAAGGACCACGGATGATGGAACAACCTAGGCCAGCTCTCCCTGCGGCAGGCTGGTAAAGTACTAAGGTCCGTGCCAACACCACGGATGGCAGGACATCAAAGCGGGGCTGACGCTGGTGGATGCGGAAGCCACACCGTTGGCGTACTAACAACGTTTTGTGGAACTTAAAGAAACCCAGTGGCATCTGCATCTGAGGGAACGAGTAGGTAGATGAGGCCCAAGTGAAGCTTTGGCTCCGTGGTTCAAGTTAGTGTCGGTGTCCAGAGAGGACACTCGTACC